GATCTGACATTGCGGAGAGGCAGCGCGCGTGGAAGGGGAGGATAGGCGAGGGAGCTTCACGGCATGTTGGCGGCGTTGAGCGCCTCGGGAGCGCCCGCAGAAGGCAGACCGTAGCTCGCGGACGGCGCGGAGCGGAGCGACTCCGCGCGTGGCCGCCGCCGCCAAGGACTTCGAAGGTTAAAGATGGCTCCGCCGCATCCGCTCGCTTCTTCAGTGGCGAATGAACAAGCACAAGCGGAATGACGGAGGAGAGTGTTGATGCAACGCGGAAAAACTTTTAACGAGAGCGAGAAGAGCACACGAGAGTAGAAACGACGAAGGTCAGGAAAGTTCCACATCCACACTTTCGCTTCAGCAAACGTATTTTTGATCTCGCATGCGATGAACTGAATGTTCTACACAACACCCAACTTGCCCTCTTTAAATTATGCAGAGGGGAAAACACGTGTAAGTTAGGTCGGGAATCAACATGCTCAATAACCAGATGTACCACACCTCAATCTCGTTCTATTCCGCATAAGTCACCCTCAGTAGAGCAAACCGCTCTGCGTGAATGAACTGAATGCTCATAGAAAACTATATTTTTAAATAATGAAGCATCTTTTTACCACACAATTTCAAGTACGGTATAGTTAAACTTCCTGTCGGATCTCGTTTGAAACTTTCCTACCTCGCAATGCCTAGACATGTTACGTGGTCAGAGGTGTCGATCGGTTGCACGGCTGGGAGAGGAGCAATGTTACACTATTCTCCTTCCATGTTGTCGGGGGGTTCATATACTTGATCCGTTTCTACTTCCAGCCTATAAAAATTCGCCGCCGTGCGAACAGCCCAGCGCATCTCGATGCCGAGGTGCTACCTCCGCGCCGTTCCCATCTGCCGCCCGGCAGTGGGAGACAGGAAGGAAGCAGACTGCTCCCTCCGCCGCAGGGAACCGCGGGCGGTCTCCGACCCGCCTCGCCACGTCGCTCCGCGCCACGCACGGGCGAACCTGCGCTTGAGCGACGACCTCCCAGTTCGACCCCCTCCCCAACACA